TTTTTCGTTGAGAATTCTTGCCTCCACTTCTTTAACTTAGTTGCAAAACTTCTACAAGTTGAAGAGCATTTTTCCATACTCTACCGATGAAACTAGTTTCAGACATCCCATTAAGAAAACGAAACACGAACTGAAACTTTTGTTAAACTTACATTACCATAGTTATTGAAATATATAAAATTCAGCGAGAATTCTGTCAAATGACATGAATATCAGGCGGTAATTAACGAATATTAACTTATATTTATTACCTAATTGAAGTACCTTGCCAAAAAATTGGTAAAAATCAATTAATATTGGATTTAAAAAAAACTTTTAAACAATATTAAAAGCAGGTAAAACCCATAAGTAGACAAAGTCCAGAAGAGAAAGAGTATTTTAACGTTAAGTGGGGGGGCAGTATGATGCGGAGACAAACTTAAAATAACCGTGACGAATTTCCAGTCAGTTTTATCCCATAGCATAAGCTAGTGGCTATCAGAACTCAGTAGGTAAGTGGATAACATGATGGCGTTTGAAGCGAACGGTACTGATTTCGAGTCCCGGAGTGAACATCAACTCTGGGATGCAGGTACATCCAGCTGACGAGTCCCAAATAGGACGAAACGCGCGTCCCAGATTCCACTGCTAGCCACTATCCATCATTGCTTACACTACAAAAAGCTTGTGAATTAAGGCAATATCGAGGCAACCCGTACCGCATGCACATATGCCAATTACAGACTGATCAATTATAGTCCTTAACACCAATGGGAAGATTCAAACAGCCAATACAAAAATGAATCAGAACTTGGGATGTTCGCTTAACTATTTACTGTAGATTTAGGTAAAATAAGTTTACTGAAAAGCTCAGGCATCACCATGCATGAAAATGCACACATCCAGAGAGTATAATATGATAGGATGAAAATGCTAAAGTCTCAGTAATTTAGATGGAAGAACAGATTATTAAAGGCTGAATTCATAGACCTAACGACAAATATATGCGAATAAGAGGATTTTATGTTAACTGCATATTTTCAGGAAACATTTTTGCAAGGTTGAAGCGAAAGTTGACAGAGAATTAGTACTATAATAATGAGACGTTAAAGTTATTTAGTTACGTCAACATGACTGTGCACAAAAAATTTAATTCAGAACTTTATCAAGTATTCAATACTGAAATTATCATTTATGGTAACTTAAAGCAAGATAATTCTTGATTAAATCTTCCGGACAGTTAAAGTTGTCTTTTATTGTATAAAATATAAACGTATCGCTTTAAATAATCAGTAACAATCCAATGTTTGAATCATAATCACAATTTACTACAATGGTTTCTAACAAAATAAACCAGCCAATGTATCAGCAACCGAATTTATGATCATCAAATATCTCAGAAATTTTCAAAGGCAATAAATATGACTTAGTTGACAGTATGCAGTATACTGAGAATGAGTATTTTTTAATCGTTTATATTATGTGCAGTACTCAATCTGAATACAGGACAAAAGAAAGAAAGTGTTATGTAAAATTAGGTGACAAAATATCGATCAAACTAGAGTGTTTATAAATTGATCCAGTGATGATAATATGTACATAATACTGCAAAAATATTTACTCTTATAACTAGCGAAGCACACTGTTTTTCTCATATCAGATTATTTCTTTAAATTTCTAAAATGAAGACGATGAATGTATATAAGGTAAATAATTCAGAGAATAAAAACTACGAAATTTCTGCATAATGTTAATTTGGTAGTCAGATTTATAACTAACAGAGAAGATTCATCTTCTAAGATCGACCTTGTATAGAGTAAATCAGCTTATTTTGTTATGGTGTGAAGCAATACAACAGAAAGGTAGGATGCACCTATAAGGTTTTGGAAACTGTTGAATTTCGCTGAGATGCTGGACAGATATAAATTAGACTACCACTGATGTTCGGCTTTCGCGTATAAGACCGAAGGTTCTTGGTTCCACTCCCGTGTGTGGGGTCGTGAAGATGAATTTCTGAGGAGTGACATACTAAGACGAAACGCTCGTCCAGTGCTTCTAGGTTTTTCAATGGTTGACTAACCTTGATCCGTTCATGATTTCAATAAATGTCTATTTTCTATTCTTGTCACTTACCTCGGTATTTGCTTAACCGTTGTAAATAAATTAATATTTTTACTGTTGAATAAACTTTGCTATCGGATGTTTCAGCAAGAATAAAAATAATCATCTATAAACCAAAAATCTACGTAAGTAAAAAACAGTAGAATTTACACTGAAAATCGTATTCTACTCCTTACCGTAGTAATTTCTAGGAGTTTCCATTAAATTTTATATGGATCACCGATATACAGTTACATTGTTTAGAACCCAATAACATTTGTTTATTATGAGAAACCTTTCCTTAGATTTATAATAAAATAGTGCTTCCTTAGTTCCTTATAGGAACTGTACCCAGCAATGTAACCTCAGTTGAATGTAACCGACAGTATAATACTTATGTATTTTTAAATGCATCGAATTAAATAACATTGAGTAGTGATTCGAGTCATTTAATCATATAAGATTCTCTTTGCGAATTATGGTAAGTATTTATCCTTTGTTAATAATACCTGAAAGTTTGTAGTTTGTGAGGTACAACAACGATTGAAATCGTAAACATATATTCCAGTGTTTATTGACAACATTATTCAGTAAAGCATTACGTCATCTGGTCCATGTCTATATGTAGAGATATAGAGGAAAATCGTTTTTTAGAATTTCGAAATCTTCTTCATCCACTTATTCAACTTACAATTTCAAGCGGTTTAAAAGTTATTTTCATTATTACATACCATTCATTACAAAACTAATTAGTGAAAACTAGTTTTGTCATTACGTAATAACAATAATGATAATAATTGAGATCATGGGTCATTGGAAGCCAGACCATCATGGAAAAACTGGAAGAACTGGAAGGCCGTTTCTTTCTATTGTGGGACTCCTCAGAGGTGTGCGTCCATGATCTCGCCTCGTGGGATTCGAACCCAGGACATATCGGGTTCGTGAGTGAACGCTTAACCTCCAGATCACTGAGACGGCATCCAACGGTGTTAATATCTAATTTCAACTAATCCACGAGATTGAGCGACACATCCACCATTGTTTTCAATGAGTTACTATTTCACAACAGACCTGGCTGAACTCCACTGGTCACTGTTTCTCACTCGAACTCCAGGAAATACCTCTTGAAGTCAGTCATTAGTGAGCATATGGCGGGATCGTGGATGTATACTGCTGCGTAGTCCCACAATAAGACGAAACAGCCTTCCAGTGCCTCCAGGTTTTCCATGGTGGTCTAGCTTCAATTGACTCATGATCTCAACTATTGAAATTACCATAATATTCACCAAAAGCCCCTTCTAATAATAACGATAATAAAAATCAAAATTCAAGGGTTCAAGTCATTCTAAAATAATCACAACTTAAAATAATTATTAATGTTTAGATTAGAATATTCATACTGATATGTTAACTAAATAACATCTCGTTTCTCTTCTGTTAATTGTACGGCAAAATCATTACCTGAATTCATAAATATCATTTCATATCTCATAAATTTACAAAAGAAATTGTTTAGTTCAATTTCAGAATTTGTTTCATTGGTCATATTTATTTGATTGTGTGATCAATTAACTTTAGTTAATAACAATTTTCTGATAGATACTAATAAAATACATATAAATAAATATACATACATTAATTCACAACACAATCATTAATACCAATACCATTTTGTAAGAATAGAATATGAATTACAATAAGAAATAACAATAATAATAATAATCACTAGGGTGAACGTGTTTCAATTTAAACCTAATTAAAGTGTACAAGTAATTGTAGTCTTTATTCTTTTATTATTATTATTTATCAATCAAGTGTAATTGTTAACTCATTATGTGAGTTTGATTAAGAATGTCAAAAAATGATGCCATTTAAAACTGGTAAACCCAAAAAGAGCTTATATAATACTTGTATTTTTTTCTGAAATGAAAAAAATTAAAATCTATGCAAGTTAAACTGAAAAAAATATGGATTATTCTTTATGAAACATTATTCTGTAAGGAAATAATTTAGAACATCGAGAGTGAAATGTAAACAATAATATTTAAATTCATAATGAGTTAGATATCTTTAAAGAATGTACTTTAAGTCTTCAGTTAAATATTAACTGTTAGAAGATTTAATCCTATTTCAATTTATTACACTAGTAGATCACATAGTTCTGATAAACTTCCTTTTCTTAATGCTTGTGTAAATGTATTTCAGTTATTGAAGTTACAAATAATTGTGTTATTTGGTTATTGGACAGTAATCAATGTCAGAAGGTTTAGTCATGAGCATTAATAAAATGAAATTTAAACACAACTATTAAGTTGACTAACTTAACACTTCGATGAATTCCGCTTGGCGTAAGTTGGTTGCAGGCAATCGAAAGGTAAACATTTCAAAACACTGACTACTATAAAAATCTGTCTTGCAGAAAGCCAGAATACCTCACTAATAATATTTCTATACTAACACTTGATGAAACGGATTTAGATCTCAAAAATGGTATCAGTTCTTCCCTGTATATAATTAATTTCTCACTGTCTGGAAGACCAGTTACTGTATTATTATATTAAGTTAATTTAAAACGTACATAATCTATAAATACCATTTGTTTCTTTGCCACAGCAGATTCATAAATAATGCTCCAGAATGCTCTATATACAATAATAAATTTGTTGATATACACAACCTTTTTGAAGATTTGCTGATTTTAACTGGTTTCTTACTTTCTTTGGATGATTAAGAAATCAGGACCATAGAACACAAGTGTATGTATTGTATTGGAATCCTTGTATACTTTTTATTATTGTATCATTAGTAATTACCAGGTTAAACTTTGGTAATGATACTTGAAATAAATAAAAGTTTATTAAAATTCCCATCATCAGTGTAACCAGCTCATCTTCAATTTTATTTATTTTTTATTCTTCCAGACTTCATCAACAATTGATTTATTAAAATGTATTGGTCCTGTTGAATTTATCAACAATGGTGCTGGAATTAAAAATCCATTGGCATGTAGCACGAAATTTGAAAGGGAATGGCTAAATCGTCTTTATGGTAAGTGTTTGATTGTTAATTGCCGGTCTGCCTTGATATCTGAGGTACCTATTCTTCCTATTATTAAAAATTTTCAACAAGTCATTTTGTGTTTTTTTTTAAAATTCATAAACCATGTTCATTAACCGCATAACTTATTCAAGCATGTATATTAAAAGTTTGAGATCTATCGCTGTACAAGGTAATGTTAAATGCAGAGATATTACAGTGGCTGACAGTGAACGTTGATCATATGCCTATTCTTGATCTGCTAACTTCCAACCTCCGATCACTAGTTGGCGAAGTAGATTATCTTCGATTCGTACTAAGTTTAAACGTGTATCGTAATTGCAGTGTAATCACAATTCAAGAATCGTAGTTAAATAATTTACACGACAATTGTTTAGTATCACAATATGGTTGGAATATTTATCTTCAGGATCTATCGAGCAGTCAGAAAAAGTGTGGCGAAGGTGTAGCTATACTTGCAAATGTGAACTGGTATCAGTCTAAATTTGTCTGTTTTAAGTTTTCAGATAACTTTATCTACTGTGTAACCTAAAAATGCTGTCCAATTACTTTAACGTGTACAATTATGCTCATGTTGCTAAAATTTATGTGACTATGGACTGCACGTCATCTTCACTATCCGTTCTCATTGTTGTACCCTCAACTTTCTTCCATCTCTAGGTTACCAAAATCTAATCGATTTCTTCACTTAGTTTTCATTAGTGATATAGGAATATATGTAAATTTTACACAGGCTCCATTGCGTGATTCTGATCATTGTATTATTTATGTCCTGCTTAAAGTATATGGCAGACTTGGAGAGAGTTCACTATTACATGAGACGAAGAAAGTTAAATATACAAAGTACTCCAAGAAAAATACCAAAGATCTGAAAAACATGTTTTAAACGGCAAACTGGGATTTACTTAGAAATGACTCATTAGAAAACACCACGGATATTCCTACTCTTCACCTTTGGTTCTGTTTTATTGTTCAGTATCCCAGTGAAACAATTTTTGTAGGATTTGACCGACTTACATACCCGCAAATAAAAAGATGTAGGAGGGAAAGTGAAAAACCACATTAAATTTCGGAAGCTAAATGGTTTAATAAATTAAGAAATCAAGATCTGAATTCCGTGTAGGTTTAAAAACTCTTATTCTTCAAAAACACTTTAAATATATGGTGAATATTTAAACAGATTACAGATGGGAAATGGATTAGCGACGATATCCAGCTGATTGTTTGTAACTTAAATAAGTCTTTTATACCTGAATCCAGCCACATAATTTTGGTGGAATTCAGGTATCATCACAAACTCATGATGACATTTATAGTGTAGCTATTGTGACTAGCTTTGATATGAAACTTCCGGAGTTCTAGGGAGAATCCGTGACCGGAGGAGTTCAACTATTTCTAGTGTGAGGAAAGTGTTGACCGAAGACAATAAATGATGGACCCGAAACATCGTAGATCGATCAATGTTAGACCTGTATGCCATTGAATGTCAGCTCGGTGGTCTATAAGCTAGATGTTCTCGCACGAGAATGAGGGTCCTGGGTTCGATTTCTGGCTATGGACTAGTGGGTATCCATTAGGGACAAGCATTGTACTGGGACGAAACAACTGACCGCTGCTTCCAAGCTTTCATTGGTTGCCTAACTCAAATCAGTTTGTGACTTCAATCATTATTACTATTATTATATTTTAAGTCTCACTATGTTGGTAATTTGATTTACGAACTTCAAGACAGTTAGTTATCTTTCTAAAAACTTGTTTGTAAGTTATATTTACGACATCAGTCGATCTAAAATTTCTACCACTCATTTCTTTTACACTTACTTATTACTTAGTTTTGTTATATTTTTATGACTTACACTTTGATAAGTACGAAAATAATTTACGGTACATATAGAAACCAAATAGTCTATATTTCTGACTTTAGTTCTAGCTCATCAATTTAATCACTATATCTTGGCAGTAGAATATATCAATCTTATACTCAGTCAAGCATTAAAGCAGCTGATGCTCATTATAAAGAGCCTCAAACTAAAAGTGAACATTTTTCTTCTCATTTTATGATTCTTTAGAGGGCAATACTTTGTGAGAAAGGTTACTTTCAAACTATTCTATTTGTTGACTGAACTCATTTACGTTTCCGAATTAGTATACAAGTATTTTGTAGAAAATTAGGTGTTTTCAGAAATGCGATGAAACAAACCTTAAACGTAAATCTCGTCAAGCAAAGTTAATAGCTTAATAATAACATCTAAAATCATAGTCTCTGATAAAAGAAGTCACTTAAGAAACCAAGCTTTGGTATAAACTAATAATATAATTTTGCTAAAGCGAAATACAAATGAGGATTTTTTCGACAGATTATTACACCTCTTAAAGTTAAGTGCTTTCAAATTGTGAAGGGAGATCATTTAAAGTTACCGATTCAATTGAATTATTATTCAGAGATTTAATTATCTTTACAATGTTGTTTCATTAATCTCTGACTATTTTAGGAGAGGAAAAAAATAATCAGCAAATCGATACTGAAATCAATATATAAATGCAGTTTTTCGGTTTTTCCATAGTTATCAGATATTCTATTCACCTGTACAACCGCATTAGCTTCATAGTCCCAGTTAAAATCTAGATATAGAAGCTGAAGTGTTAGTAAATATCGGTTACTCTACTGAATGATTCAGTGTTTTACAATTATCTACCATGGGGCCAAAAGTGTTGATTTATCGTGATCTCTACACTTTATTGAATCTATTTGGAAACAGCAATAAGTGTTTAAAATAAAATATTGCTCCTATTCTAATTTAGATCAATCACAATGTTTCATATTGCTAAGTGACTGAATACATAAATGTAGACATTTGAACTTCGAAGTAGTAACTAGCTAGCACTATCCTGGCTTTTCATCTTAAGGATCCTACGTTCAGCTCTGTGTACAGTAGTGGCTTTACACCACTGATTGTTCTGCAATAAAAATCGTGTATGTCGGTTCTCTAGTTTTAGATTCAAAATAACTATGACCTATACATTTTTCTTGCTAAATGATATCATTGATTCATAAGAAAACTTTTGGTTTTTGTAGTAATTAGAAAAAATCTCTAATCCTTTTATTATTGGTTTACTAGTACGAGATCATTGTTAGTTATTTATGCTGTTGAATATACAAAATACTTTTAGCGAATGTTTTAATTAATCCAAGTCCTTCTGTTTTAAAAGAAACTTTGAAAGAAAACAAAGTTTCCATTGTTTTTAATTGATTTACCGATAATTTTGTGTGATAAAGAATTTACTGAACATGATATCTTTTTCTCAAGGATAAGATATACTGACCTTAGTTTCGAAATTCAAATTTAAATCAAATGTGATTATACGCTAAGTGTTTCTGTTTTAATTTATCAATTTTCTCCAAAGATAATCAAAAATCTAAAATATGCCAATAGTTGATTTGATCTTTAACAGGACAATAAAATACTGTATGTGTTTCATTTCAAAAAGATATAAGCTTTTATTCACTAACAATGATTTCTAAAGCTAAAAAGAATTTTAATTATTTATTTGTACTACACCAATGAACGTGTTGTGAAATGAAAGACAGCACTAACGATTTATTTATTTTACTGAAAAGAAATAAACTAATCATTGCCCATAAATGTAAGTTAATTTATTATCTTGTCTTTTACATGGTGAAGAGCTATCGGTGATAGAATGTCATTTAGCGAATACGATGAAAGGAGGATCTATTTTGAAATAATGACAATTTTTCAGAAAATTTCTGGTTAGGTGGTACCAATGAATCATAGGTCTGACAAAATTTACTTTGCTGCTAGCCAGATACGTTTCATAAATAATTAAATTGTTAAATTTTGATCTGTGAATTTTGTTCGGATCTTCATGGGAAGGTTTCTTAATTCCTACTTAAAAGTATTCATTTTGCATATCTCCTGACATTTTGGAGTATTTTTCTTAAAATAGTTAATATTTAAATATTTTTGACAGTTATGTCTCTTGCTAATCAACATTCATAAAACACACATCATAACAAATTATGATTAAAATGTCAAACAGCCTATTTGATCCAGCTCATGTTATTTTAGATATGTTACAGAACAATATTTATACAAAAACGGGTTATCCTTTACCCATTTACCAGTAAGCCAAGAAATAACATAGATATCTTTGAATTCATATTCAGTGTTCATATGAACGAAAATGTAAAAATAACATTCAGATAGGTGATAAATGATTAACAGAAACAATTAATATAAGTGTTCTGGAATCCTATACAATTGTCAAATTTATTTTGTATATTCAACTTTGTAAAATTTACGGTTCTAGAAAGCTGTAAATTAAAAAATGAATGGTTAATAAAGTTCACTTTGAATAGTTACCTTCTTGTATATCAGTTTATATTATTAGTTTATTCGTGTTTACTTTGCGTCAGCTCTGTTCAAATTAATTGGCCTCCTAATAAATTTGATGTATTCCTATAATATGCACTTTCAAAAACTTATTCCGATGAATTACTTGGTGTAATATTAGTCAAATTTTCATTTGTTTTCAGCATGTACAAATTAATTAGTTAAAATTATTTTCTGTTCACAATAAATAGACCGATAAATCCTAGATTCGAATCTCGCGAGGCGGGATCATAGATGCGCACTGCTGAGGAGTCCCACAATAGGACGAAACAACTGTCTAGTGCTTCCAGGTTTTCCATGATGGTCTAGTTTCAACTGACTCATGATCTCAACTATTAAATAAATAAAACCTTAATTTATGTTTTTTATGAGTACATTTACTGAAACAACATATTTACATGATGGAATAAAACAGCTTTTCTTGACTAACTCACGTAACAAAAATAATGTTACGTATTTAACAATATTTATTAATTGTGGTTAACTAGAAAAACTGGAGATTCATTTTATAGTTAATAAAGCTAATTAAGGTGGGTTAAGTTTTAAATTTCATTAAGTAAACAAAAACTGTTTGAATACATGATTGATTGACATTCAGAGTTTCAATTCTGTTAGGGAGAAAGTTAATATGCTATACTATTGGTAACATGTTGACGTAAAGGAATCAATTAAATAATTTCTATTAACGTTAAATTACATCTAATAAATGGCTGCTGGAACGGTTTATGCCATATCTGATCTGTAGGTAGGTTTTGAACAGACAATCGTTAATACAAATTGTTACTTTCCCAAATCTTTAATTAGAGCAGCAAAAGTTCAGATGAACAGTTACAAGTACTTTTGATTATTCTGATTCATAATTCACGTGATCATACACTCAAGGTAAAAGACAGCAATAATAGTAAAGTTTATAAATTTTCAAAGGAACGTAAGTTAAATATATTATGATGAACCAAATACTATTTTTGACAAAAAGTGAATATAATAATGATTAATAATTCAAGAGGGCATGGAGTTAGAATAAAAATGGTAATATCAAATACTAGCTATCTGACAAATACTCATTCAAGTTAAACAAACTAAATTCACCATGGAATTCCTACTGAAGTTTCATGTTTTCCTATGTTTACCTCCTCTAAACTAAACTACTATAAAAACTTACACAGTTTCACACTTAGCTTTTCAAGATAAATGTAGTTTTGACGCGTATAATGATAAATTACTGAATAGAAATTATGAGTATTTTCTTATTCACGATGTCGCTAATTCATTGTAATCAAAAAACTAATTCTTCGTATAGCATTTCAAAAATATGTAGTTAAAATGAAGTAAGTTTTGAAGTGAGAATCTAACTTGGAGATTGCTTTTATAAACAAATGAACTTTGTTTGGCAGTATCTCTGTGATCGATCTGATCAAGTTAGGCAATTGCTTTCATTCAAAGTTCATTGAAGTGTAATTTGAAATGCTTAATATTTCAACAATTTTAAGATCATTGATAATAGCTGGTTTTTAAAAGTTTGTCGATTACCTAATAGTTAAGTAGATACCAGTGAAAATATAATTGTTTCCTACATAATGATAATTTAATAATGTAAATGTAATGTATTTAATGGTGTACAAGCATTTCTGAAGATATAATTAGCGACAAAATAAATTTGATCCTATCTAAATATGTCTAGTACTGTTTTGATCAATCGAGCAGTTTCATATCAAACCAATAATGATTGACGTTATATGCCTTCTAAGGTGCAAAAGAAACAATTCAAAACAAGTTTCATCTCTCTTGGTCTGATAAATCAATAGAGTGGGATATTAACAGCAAGCATTAAGTGTTCTTCATTAAAAAAATACATGTGCCATGAGAGAGAAAATTTGCAATAAATGCTCCAATTTCTAAGGGTAGACATTAGTAGACACAAATGTCCCATCGACGTCAGTTTGGATTCATAGCAACACATCAGTGTTGGATGCAAAGTACTTATCTGTATCACCGTTGTCGATTTTGGGTTGTATTTTTAGAATCATCAGTTAAGCTAGAATAACGACGATTTATAAAATGATAGTCTATAACTGTTAACAGAGATGTTTTTCAAGTAATCAACAATATGGTATAATGATTAACTATAAAGTCAAAATTATCATATTTATTTAGAACGAATGTTATTATAATTATCATCTTTAAGTTAATCAATACTCCTTTTCTTTTCTTTTTATTTTCCTTGTTTTTCTTAGCTTCTCAAGTAGGTCCAAATGAATATGTTTGCAAAGCGTGTGGTAAACGTTTCCAATTATTGCGTCTTTTAACACGACATATTAAATGTCATAGTCAGTTACATAGATATTTATGCAAGTTTTGTTTCAAAGGATTCAATGATACATTTGACTTGAAACGTCATACCAGAACACATACAGGTATGTTTAATAATTTAAAATAATTTGTTTTATATATATAAAGTTTTTCACTTACTAACACAGGTAAAGACCAGTGACAATCTACTTCAAAATATGAAGGAGTGTATAGTGATAATATGTATTTTTCTTAAATATCAGTAAACCATCTGGTTAGTGATTCAATGACTAAGTCTAGAAAAAAATCATATGTAAAAGTAAAAGTATAATATGTTCTAAGTTAGTTACTTATGGACTTCTATGGACATCTAAGAATCCTAATGTTATTAAAGCGGTAGAATATTTGGGAAAAAATAATAATATCGCAACCTTGAGTTTAAGCTATAACATCGAAACAGTTCTTTCGATCATCATACCTATACCTAACTCTCGTTTCTGAATGGTTTGATTTTAATTTTGTTCATTCATGTGCATAAAACCGCTTAACCCAAGTAAGACAATTCAGCATGATTATTTCCAATAATTCCTGGTTTATGAAGAAAAATATTAAAAAGCTTATATAGGATAAGCAGTTCAAATATCACCTAGGCAGGATGATATGGAAATGCCTGGTAGAATGGCTTTTACAATCCGGAATTATAAGTCATGTTCTAGATTGTGACAGCACTCAAACTGTTGATCGCAAACTTATGTTGATTTATCATACTTTTATCTTTAGACGAAATGTCTCAATAGTACAATACGTTGGATGCCTTTTTTCTTGTATTTCCATTCAGAGTCAAGTTTACGCCGCACTTGATGATCCTATGTTATTATTCAATGAAGCGGTTTTACAAACATTTGGAACATTCAGGAGGTAATTTTGATTGGGGACTGATGTCAACTATAGAACCAGTAAAAAACTATGGAGCCCTTATAAAACAACTGCATTCCACTATGAGATCTCACACCAATGCAAACCCACTCAGCGAAAATCACCCTCTAAATAGACTTAGATTGCCACGACACCACCTAGATTAATAATGACCATGCGACAACTGGTGACTAGTTCCAAGGTGAATTTTCAGAAGTTTAAGTTTGAATCCGTGATATTTGATGTTTTCAAATTCAGAATTGAGAAGATTACAATCTGATGTAACTCGTAATAAACCTGCTTCATCTTGAAGTGGTTAGAAGTGTAAACAGTAGATCATTAGATTACAGCTGAATTGCACCCCGCTCGATGGGAGACCCAAACATTCTAGACACGATTATGAGTGGGTTTGTGAGTATCCATTGGTAAGCAGTTTCACATTACGACAAAACGGCTGTCCAATCCTCTTTGGTTTTCAATGATTTCTTAGTTGGAGTTATTTCCTGATGAAAATTACTGTCAAAACCATAGTTTATACACCAATGAAAAAATATACTTTGTGTACTTTTTCCAAATTGTCTTAGACACTATATACCTAACAACTCAATTTATCGCCCAAAGTAAATCAACTTACTTAGTCAAAGAAAAAAAACTACAAATCTGAATATTATTTTTATATGTAACGTAGATTTTTTTAGTATGGTCAATAATGCTTGATAATGATAAGTGTATGTGAGTATACATTTAAATCACCACTTTCTTTTTTCGATGGTTTAAACAGATAAAATTATTTTTATTAGTCTGACACGCACATTAACATTCATTTTACAACGCATAAGAAGGAACTGTAGATTTGTTTTTCTTAGCATAGATCTTACTATTGGTCAACACATTTTGTATTTTTGTTTGTTTGAGTAAATGCGAACAAACAGTATGCGCAACTTGTGTTACGGTAGTGAAAATGTTTAAAAGTACACGACCTTGAAGTTAGCCAAATTTAAATGAAATGTTATGCTGTCCCCTCAAATATAATTTGGCCATTAATTTACCTTCGTAAAAACTGTACTATCTCATGTTGATAGTTTTTCATGATTGCTCACAGTCAACTAGGTAGGCATATTTGTAAACTATGACAGATGGTCAATGGATTTGGACTAAATCGTTCACTCATGTCAAATGGTTCATTCTGAACAGAAGTACAATGATTATATTTATTATAGATTTACTGCTATGCAAAGCTAAAATAGTATCATAGTCATAGCATCACGTGCAAATTATCTTAATCAAGATTATATAAAATGTTTAGTTGCTAATTCATTTATTCAAAAAGCATATACCTCTCCAGTTTATACATTTAAAATGTTTAAAGTTAAGATGGAATATTTTAAGCATATGTGTTAAAAAGCCGGAAAAGGTATAATGAACCCTATTAATTTAAAGTCAATAAAATTTCATTTGAACAATTGTAAAGATTCAATTGATTTGAAGATAGTTTTCAATAGGAACAAGAATGATTTACAGAGCTTTTGGAAACCAGGGAACATTTAACCTAGAACACATAGTTCTTGTAATGAAAATATGTCTGATCAGTCTGTAAACAATAAAACAATAATTTAGAATTTCAAACTTCGTTTTAATCATAATGAATTTAAATTAATAACACTGGTGATAAATTACTGATGATACATAATGATCAAAATGGTCTGTTATCGTATTCTTAAGCATCTGAGAAAATAAGAACATCAGTTGTAGTCAGTCAGATGTATAAGATTGAGGAATAGCTAATTCTGAAGTAATGGAAAGAATTTGTCGAGTACATAAATACTTATGTTAGTTTTACGTTATTTGAAGCAAATAGTTTAAGTGGAAAGCTTTTGATTATCTTTATGGACGACTTCACTATCATTTTACGGCATATGATAAGTAGTACTAGTCATGTACCCTAGTTATACAACCAATGGTGCGCATGAGATCCTGAATCCTACAGGAGCGAGTGGGGAATAATTATATTTCGGTCACTGGCTACCATGGGACTGCATCCTCTGATGTTCCTTCATTACCATGTCAATTGGACCCTTTGATTTCGAGTAACGAGAGCGGTTCACTAAGAAAATTGTCTCTTTCGGTCTGGGTGTTCGGGAATTGCCCTAACCTACACAGAAACGTGATGATAATTTATGGTGAAAAGAAATTGTCCTCATTCCACTTAGCTATTCACGCAGTCAATGTCCACATTTATTTTGTTAAATTCGTTTTCACTTAATGCTGGGTCACTTACCTATTCCTTTTTATTCCCATTTCGATTTTATTTTTCAACTCATTCAGTAGCTCATTGATAGTAAAAGTCCCGCTTTGTCTAAAACGATCTCAGGACCCTAACACCAACTTCCGAGACAGTCGTTACTAACCTGCCATCTGATATCTATCCTCTACAACACCGCGATCAGCTACCACTACCGTTGTTGTATTTAAAAAATCCACTTCTTTCTGAGTACCTATCTGAAGTTTGACCATGATTTGGTTACACTTAAACTTATTTTAGGTGTTCTTACTGGAGAAAAGTCTCGTCATAAACCGAGAAATATAAGAACATTAGTTGTAGTTTCATTTACAACTGAAGGTAAAACCAAGTTGGGCTCAACGCTAGCAGTCAGTCCACTGGAATGAGGAGGTGAACGTTGGTTGCGTATGATAGGCTTCATAAATTCACGTGGAGTTTCGTGAGACTTTTCGCTTATAAGAATTGAATTTCTCCAGGCTCCTTATGAAGCCCTGTGAAATGTCAATCTACTCCTGCTAATCTTGAGTTTGATAATAAGCGTAGATTTTCACATGAAGGCAATTTCGCAGAGTTTGAGTAAGTACTGATAAACCTGGTGGTCGAAGTGAGCTATCGGGTCGAGAACAGAAGCTTCGTCTGACAATTTCCAGAGGCTATTTCACCTCACCCAATCCACTGGCAATAAGAGGCCTGATGTGAGTGATAAGAATCTGTGAAGCTGATAGAAACCCAACTAGTGACATTCAGAGTATTCTGGATGATGAACAGAGATTTTTAAAGAACAGTTCAACTTGTCAGTTACTCCAGTAAATTAGATCAGACTGTGGTTACTTCATTTTCTGGTGTCGGTTGAATCTAAAGAAACTCTAATTTCTGAAGTTCCTAAAAACTGCCAGGGATAAAGACTTAACCTTAGGTCTTTTTGAGGATTGGGCAAACTTCTGATCAAGGAACCAGTTGTGTCGTTTGGAAGCAGAGTTTGTCTCGATAGCTTGAAATGAGCCAGTCGTCGTTGCCATCTTTAGAAATGGTCTTCGTAATCAATGTAGCAATTATTAGCGGATCAATCTATTTCCGATTTCATCCAAACTAGTACTCTTTGTCGTACTTCGTAGATTGCTCTAAATACATGAAAAACTTACTGTTAAGGAAAAAAGCCTTTTTTCAGACATACCATCACCTTCCCCGCTAAATCCTGTAGCACTCCCGTACTTATTGTAGACTAAACATTGTTGTGTTTCTTGATATCAGGGTTGCCTTCGATCCGTCAGACAGAAGTGTATACAGGGAATTTTTGTTGAGAAAGGGTGTATATGCGAATTTTATTAACATCGTAAATGCTCTTTCTAGAGACACCTCAGCCACCATGAAGGAAAATACCCATGTCTCTTGGTTTTTCCATCCCAAAAATAAAGCTAAACGGGGTATCTCAATCTCATCATTCCTTTTCAACTTTTTCATCGATGACATTCTGGAAACAGTTCTGATAAAAGTGTGGTAATGTAAATCTGTTTGATGAAGAAAAACCTCTCGGTCTTCAGTATGTGAATGATATTGTTTTACTGTACGATAATAAGCAAGTTGTGCAAGTTATACTTCATCAGAAGGAGGTAACTGAATATTTTAAATATAAAGTACTTCCACAAGACTGGCAAAACCTTGTCCCAACACCCACTCTTTATAGTAAGCCATTAAAATTGATTGAAAAGTTCTTGTATTCAGGTAACTTCGTGAGTGCTGATGGTGGTACAACTGATGTGATCAGTCTGTGTATGGTGAGATCTATACCCATCTGCTCCGTCTTTGAAGCCTTCATGATGTTAGTCTGGCTTTAAAAAGCCCGATTTGCAACGAGTCAGGATAAGCTGTTTTGTCCCATGCTTGAGAAACCTAGCCTCTCCGAGTCGCGGATGTTAAGTAACTCTCTGTGTTTGATAATCATTGTCTCCGAAGGATTGCTGACATTCAGTGGTAACATCGTGTTAGTAATTCAGAGGTTCAAGAATGTATATTCGGGCACAGTGACAATAATTCATTGGTGTCACTGTCTTGAAACATTGATTTTGGTGGCTTGGACATGTACTATCAAAATCGCCCCAGTAAATTTTGCGTAATGCATTATTCACCGACGATGGGACAGGATGGAACAAATGGTGAGGTCGTTAATTTATGAGATTGTGCAGTTGCATGAAAGGAAGCTTTATAGGACTGGAATTTGTCGAGCTTTTGCGACTCTCTATTTGGGGGTCCTAGAGATCATACAATTCAGCGGCTTGATACACCTTCAGGTAGCTCACAATAGAAATCATATAGCTATCCGGCTGTAACTTTCTTTTGCACTGGTCATAAATATGGGAGGAACTTCTTTAACTGGAAGAATCAGGAATTGTCTCGTTTGTTTTTCCAGCGGAACTATCTTTCCTATCACGTATTTTTTCTGTTAATTACTTTGTAGATTAATCTAGTATTATCATTTTTATTTTTACTACCTTCTCTTCAAACGTACTCTCTTTTCCTCACAGTGGTATCCATACTTCATGTGTCACATTCTATTTCTTAGTAACTTGTTGTACCAGATTTTGTGTGCTTAAATACATAAGTTAATGGATAAACGGATACTATCTTCACTACACAGAATTTTAATATCTACTTGTAGGCCGATTTTTCTTACCATAATATTGTTACTGATTTGGTCAATTTCAACACCTAAATTGCAGCAGCTTCAATGTATAATGCAGTTACAACTGAAATTTCATTTTCACATTCTTTTTAATAACAAAGATTACATTCGTTTAATAAAATTATTATTCTTTTACAAACATGAGTCCTATCCTTAATATTCTGTATTTAAAATTATATAAGTTAAGATTTCTGAGCATTTTACCTAACTCACTTATAAATGTCAGTGATTACTTTATTTATTTTAAACTACACAAAACAAATTCACTCCTCATAGACGTATACCACACAACTGGCCATTAGGTGTGGTCAGTGATATAGTTTGATTCATTTCACGTAGAAAACAAATGAATGATAAACAATTTATTGATAGATAACTGGTATATAATAAGATAGATTTGAAACTTACAGATTCATCTTGAAAATTTGATAGCAAGCTTTAACTTCAAACTTGGATGTAATTACAATATTCTATCCTAGTAAAAACCCATAATAACAGTTACACTTCGATGCTAAGTGACAATATCCCATACCACTGATTAATTTAGGCTGAAAATTAGTAGAGTTTAGTGTTACAAGAAATAAATTATTCACCAGGTTCAATGATGTTTTTCATACAGACCTCTATATAAACAACATAATAATGGTTTCCTAAAGATATTTTTGGAGTGATAAATATTTAGCTTGAAAAATAACTATCACATTCGAGCGATCAACTGCACTAATTTAGTAAGCTTCAATTAAGTTCATATAAGAACCTACTTATTTACTTATGCCTGTTATCCCTCATGAAGGAGCATAGGCCGCTCATCAGTATTCTCCACCCAACTCTGTCCTGGGCAATCCTTTTCAGTTGCTATTCATCCTTTCCATGTCTGTTTCCGATGCCTTACGCAATGTTCTTCGGCCTTCCTCTTTTTCGTTCCACTACAGGATTCCAAGTTAAGGCTTGCCTCGTGATGCGGTTTGGTGATTTCCTCAATGTTTGTCCTATTCATTTCCAGCGTGTTTTCCTAATTCCCTCCTCAGCTGGGAGCTGCTTTGTTCTCTCCCACAGTGGGCTGTTGCTGATGGTATCCAGTCAATGGACATTCAGTATCTTACGTAGACAATTGTTTATAAATACTTGTACTCTTTTGGTCATTGTTGTGGGTACATGTAACAAAGGTGTTAGATAATATTTTCTCAAATATCGCTTCGAAAACTCAGTAATGTTAGGTATATATTAGAAAAGTGAACGTATTTCATAGTATAAAGTAAATTTAAGACTAATAATGTATTTGTGAAAAACTATTCAAGTTAAACATAGTTTTTATAATATATCGAAATCAGGGATTTGTTTAAATTAGTTAGTACTGAATACAATCGAAAGTTTTGGTTTAGATGTTGGGGATCAGATAAAAAACTTTATCCAGTGCTTTTTGGGTGTGAAGAGTTCCTCATCTGATATCAGTTCGTTGTACGAAATCTCCACAAAAATATCTGTAACAAACTAGAATTAATTCGTCTGTAATGTATCTATAACTTCAAATATAGTCTTTCTTATTCTAAAACAGTAAGTTTGACTATGATTATATGATTTTTATAGGTCATTTAATTGCGATATTTAGATGTCTGAAAAACTATGTACTCAATGGTATTATCAATATGTAACACGGTGCTTTTGCAAAAGCTTTGTAGAGTAGTAAACCGTTTTGTAGTTTTATGGCTCATGAATATTATTTGGTTATAGTAGGATCGTTTATTTGTTGTTATTTTTCGTGTGGTTTTATAAAATACTCTGATTTCACTATTTAAAGGAGCAGATTGACTTATACAGTATATATACATTACCTTCAATAGTATGATTGACTTTCCCTTGTTTATAAATCTTTCACTTTAGGTGTGCGACCTTATAGATGTTCAGACTGTTCAAAAGCATTTACCCAACGATGCTCCTTAGAAGCACATGGTCGTAAAGTTCATGGTCGTCCATTACAATATGCATTCAAAGAACGTAGAGATAAGTTATATGTATGTGAAGAATGCGGTTTCAGTACAACAGATGCTGAAAATCTACGTCAACATGCACAAACAGTACATGTAACTATAATATCATCAATTGGTGATATGTTAACAACCAATACATCTTCAAGCCTACTTCAATTATTTCCAAATTAAATATTAAATAAAAATAAATACTTAATTTCATCAACTGAATAAATTAACGCACACAAAAAGAGAGTTATATATTTTTAAATAAGTTCAAAATAAATTACGTAATACATACAAATACAATGACTTTTTCTGAATAGTCACCAAAACAATTCAATGCAAAAAAAAAAAAAAAATAATAATAATAATAATAATTTGCAAAAATCACTTCACTTGTTTCCAATGATGTGAACTAGAAATTATATAAATCTAGCGAATAACTTAAATAAACTTAATTACAGACAGAAAAGTGTACTAATGGATATGCAAAAGATCATATTATCTAAGACGGATAGTCTACATAATCTTTTCCTCGAATCATTTACTACATTTATAGAGAAATAATAATAACGATAATAATAATAATAACAATGAAAATATGTTCATTTACATATTTTATCGTATTCTTTTGTTTAAATTTTTTGTTTTTCTCATTACTAATGAACAGGTTTTCTTTTTCATTTTCTTCTTGTATACTTCATTTGATGAAATTATTCACTATACACTCAAACGGTTAATTATTATTTATATTATTTCTCTGTTCTTAATGATCCAAGAGGATTAAACCAAGCTGAATTGTTTTTCATTCTAAGAAATAAATAAATAAACACCTTTATGGATTTCTTATATCCTCTTTTTATTTTGTTATTTAATTGTTAAAATAGATTATGGAATATCTTACCTTCTAACATCTATGTTATATTGAACACAAGTGTTGGACAGGTTTTCTTTGATTGATTAGAGAAATTTATGAAGCTTATAGTGCAGTGTCCAGTGAAAGTTATGATATTATGGAGTTACTAACTACAGCTAGAAACCAATAATGTTATGCTTAATTAATTCTTCAATGTTAGTATGAGTCAGTTGCATTATTCACATTACCGAATATTACATCTGAGAATGAAAAAGGATTTCTAAACAAAGATCTGATCAGTAAAATTAATAACCATTGATAACTTTTTGTTTCTTCGTACTGTTTGAATTCTTAAACGTTCATAGTTTAAATTATCTTGGCATACTGTTCCCTCAATATAAACATCTCAATAAAATGACCGGAATTCATTAGTTCTCTTGTAAATATTGTTTTGATACTGGAATTTATTAGAAAAAATACGGGCGAATTTCCGAACTTTTGAAGTTAACGTTCTCAAGGTAAATAATGTGTCATTGAGTAGTATTATTAAAAACTGTATATGTTGATAACAAAAGATGCGGATACCGGTTTATTGAGGCAGACAATTATATTTTATACTATTAAAGTATTCTCTGTTCTTTTATAAACAATTGTTTGAAGAGATAACTTCATAAATATAGTTCACTTTATAGAGTTGATTTGTACAAGGATGAAAAACTGAGGAGTATGGTGTTGTTTTTAAAGGTGTCATTAAATATTTGGAGCAAAAGCCTATTGTAGTCTACGTGGTGAAATAGGTAATTTATTTTATTCACTCATAGGAACTTGTAATATATAACAGTTAATTTTCAATCAAAGTCTATCAAACATCATCAACACATGGTTTTATATGTTTGTTAACCTCACTGTGTTTTTACCTATGCTTGATGAAAACTTACAGTTAAATAAGAAGAGAATCATATTTTATTGTTATAAACTGAACTGTATAGGTGCATCACAGTTTGAGGATGTTGTGTTACAATTTTTATAAACATGAAGTAAAAATTATATAAAGGAAGAAGCAAGCTAACACTTCAAATGCATACTCTTAATGTAATTTCATAATACATTTTAACTGTATTTAGTCTAACTGCAATAAGATAAAGAAAAAAAGCAACAATGATTAATGCATATTGTAGATATCTGAAAATTAAAATGATTGGAAATCACAATTACAAGGTCTCTAGACGATTCTATGCATTAATTATTTTTACTGACAATTACAAAATTATTTGTTATATTTAAAATTGTTAGGTTATGGCTACATTTGAATAAGAACAATATTTAAAAACAACATGCTTGACAATTTATCATTTTAAATTACGATCATTTTTAAACGTGCGTGAACTTGTACGATAATTTCTCTCGGCAATGACGAAAGTCATATATATATAAATGCAACTCTCATTATCATGGGCATCATGTCTTTATTTATTTATTTATTTATTTGAACACATAAATATTGGTACAGGGGGGCACCAAATATATATGCGCCACACAAAACAGTGATAATTAGAAGAGAAGGAGAAAAGAGAAGAAAAAAAAAAAAAGTAATGAACGTGGGGAATTATAAAAAAAAAAGAAGAGAGAGAGAGAGAACAATGGTGGGGGAAACGGAAAGGTACAATCAGAACAGATCTTTCAGTTAAGGAAGAATATGACCACCTTTTTATGAAGAAAGTAAAAGAAGGTTACAGCAGGATCGCCACTGGCTTCTATTCTGAGCCATATCTGATAACGTCTCTAGCCACTGCGTTACACCATCTCTCGGACCCCAACCAGGGAGTCGTGAAGGACCAACATAAGCTAGCCCTTTGCAGCTTTCTTTCATACCACGACACCATGTCATATACTGACCACCTCTCCGCTTTTTCCAACCAGTCCCAGAGTCGGCAAATAATGCACGACGAGGAATTCTCTGGGACGACATTCGTAGAACATGTCCAAGCCACCGAAGTCGGTGTTTCAAGATGGTGACACCAATTTCATTATCGTCTCTGTGACCGAACACTCGATGCCGAACCTCTGCATTACTGACATGGTGTTGCCACTGGATGCCAGCAATCCTTCGGAGGCAACGATGATCGAACACAGAGAGTCGTCGAACATCCTCAACTCGGAGAGGCCAGGTTTCACAAGCATAGAGCAAAACTGCTCTCACCGTCGCGTTGTAGATCCGACCTTTTACAGCCAGACTAACATCACGAAGGCGCCAAAGATGGCCCAGATTGGCATAAGCCGCTCTGGCTTTCACTATACGTGCATTGATCTCATCACTCACGCCACCACCAGCACTTATGCAGCTACCTAGATACACGAACTTCTCGACTACTTCAATCTGCTCACCATCCAGAGTGAGTACAGGATTAGAATCCTGCCAGTCTTGTAGAAGTACTTTGCACTTCGAAGGTGCAAAGCACATACCATACCTACGGACACTGATTGCCAACTGATTAAGTGCGGATTGCATGGCTTGGGCATTCTCGCACAGTAAGACAATATCATCCGCATACTCAAGGTCGAGAAGTCTTTCTCCAGGCAACAGATCCACACCACCATTACTTACATCCGTCAGAGCTGTTTCCAGAATGTCATCGATGGCAAAGTTGAAGAGGAATGGTGAGATTGGGCAACCCTGCCTAACTCCACTGCTTGAATGGAATAGTGGAGAAAGGTGGTTGTATGCCCTCACTCTACCTGAGGTGTTTGTATATAAGGCTTTTAGGATGTTAATAAACTTCTCAGGCACACCCTTCTTCAATAGACAATCCCAGAGAACAGTTCTGTCCAACGAATCGAAAGCAGCCTTGATATCAAGAAACACTACGATTGTTGGCCTTTGATAAGTATGGCGGTGTTCTAACACTTGGCGGAGGGTGAAGATATGATCAATACATCCTCGACCAGAACGAAACCCAGCCTGCTCCTCGCGAGTCAATCCTTCTCGGGTTCTGAACAACCTACGAAGTATGACGGAAGCCAATAGCTTGGACGCAATCGGAAGTAGACTTATCCCCCGATAGTTGTTACAGGAACAACGTGAACCCTTTTTAAAGATAGGGACAACTATCGACTCATTCCATGACGTTGGTACACTCTCTAGTTCCCAGATCTTTGTAAACAACGTCGTCAGTCCTTTAGTCAGAAAGTCACCACCATCTTTAAAAAGAGCCGGGGGTAAGTCGTCTGGGCCTGGTGATTTGTAACGTTTCAAGAGTTGGAGTTCCTTGCGGACTTCCGCCTCATTTGGTGGATCAGTCGTCACCGGCCAAGGAGGGCAGGACAGTCTGACCGATGTTGCCGGAGCAGCAGGCCAGTTGAACTGCCCTTCAAAGAATTCTGCCCATCGTCCAAGACGTCGATGGATGTTAGTGATTGGCGTTCCGTCATCCTCGCAGATTGTTTCGCTCACACCAGACTTCTTGCTGCCAGTGGCTCGGATGAGTTGGAAGAGCTTCCGGTAATTACCAGATGCAGCTGCTGCTTCCAACTCACTGGCACGCTCCGACCACCAGGTTTCTCGGTCCTTACGCAAGCTTTGCCCGATTTCATTACGTAACAACCTTCGTCTGTGGTCAAACTCACGGTCACCCAGAGTAGACCGACGGGCTTCAATCAGTTGTAAGGAACCAGAAGAAACCCAGTGCTTGTAAGCGGGACGTTTCGCGATCCCACAGCTGACTTGACCCGCCATTTTCATGGCGTCATGCAATTGCAACCAATGCTCATCTATACTTTTCGGTGGAATAGTGGCTAGCCTAGAAGCTAGCTCGGTTCGGTACTTACTAGCAACAGAAGTTGCAGCAAGCTTGCTAACATCAATCCTGTGGTGGCGGTCACTTCGTTGTCCACTGAAAAGTAAGGTAAGATTGGCGCAGACCAGAGCATGATCAGATTCCAGATAGGTACTCCAAAAGGAGCGGCAGTCTTGTACACAACCGCGCCAGCGGTAGCTGATCGCGATGTGATCAATCTGAGTCCAGGCTTGAGATGCAGAAGGGGGGACGCCAGGTGGCACATCGGCGATGACTGTGCCGAAAGTTAGTGCTAGCCAGAAACAGGTTGTGGTCTGTGCATAGTTGCAGTAGACGTTCCCCGTTATCTGTCCTGCGACCAACGAGTCCCCATCGGCCACCTAAACGACTCTCTTCTGTGCCTAGACGCCCGACCTGAGCATTCAAGTCTCCAGCTAGTACTACAATATCTGTCGAACGCACTTTCTGGAGAAGAACAGATAACTGGTGGTAGAACTCATCCTTGATTGCATCCGGGCTGCAATCTGTCGGGGCATAGG